CATTTCTGCAAAGGCCCCGAGGGCAGAACTGAAAAATGCAGTATTTGAAAGTGGCGCCCGAATTGCAGCATGGCGCCAGTTGTCCAAAATCCTACGGTACCAAAGGAGGGGTTTGGAAAAAGGGTGCCAGGCCGAAAACGGGATGCAGCCGAAACAGCAAAAGATAGACCAGGGATCGAGCCCTGGCGAAGTCCGTAACATCGAACCAGCTCGGGAAACTGAGCCGCGCAGGAGGTGAGGCGACTCCACCTCTCACTCCACCAGATTCGGCCGCCTTGATAGCGACATCCTACACATATGGGGAGAATGCGGATGTCACGAATCCTCGGTTCACTTACGAGGATTACGCTGTCCACTTGGCCCCACCGTTGGACCAGCCACTCCATGTGCAACAATCAACCGCATGCACGGTTTCACCACCATCGGCAACCGATTCGGCAGCTTCGCCGCCAACTTTCGCTAGGGATTCGACGTCATGGTCAAAATTTGAGAGACTCGACCCGTTGACGTTCGCGGACTTCCAATGGATCCCCCTTCCCCTGACCGGTCGATTGTCGAAATCGCATTGCAACGTGCTCGTGGCACAATTGCGGGATTACATGCACACTGCAGTACCAGCTCCGTTGATGGACGCCGGAGTGAGGTTGTTGACCTTCAGGATTACGTTGCGAAGATCGACGACGAGTTCAAGACACAACAGTACGACAACAACGACGCACCATTGCTGTACATACGCATTCAGATCGGAGATGCGACCTGCAGTGCTTTGATCGATTCCGGAGCTACTCGCAACTATGTGACCCAAGATTTTCTGGTACGCGTTGGCCTGGGGCACGCGTTCGGAGGAAGTCGCAGCCCACACAAGTCACGTTGACCGACGGTCACACGCACAAGTCAATCGACCAGTGCATTGATTTCGTCCCCGTGTACTTCGCCCAGCATGCAAGCGAGGCCGTGCCCTTCGACATTTTGGACAGCAAGTTACGAGCAGATTTGCAAGCATCTGCACCGCTGATCTACGCCGACTACGAGCGACGAAGACCAGCTAAGGAAGCTTCACAACCTGCCCCTCCCACCGGACTTTGGTCCCTCCCTCCGACAGGCAGCTTCGCCCTCACAGGTAAGCTCGGTCTTTCAAGGACAGGGGGGGGGTGGGATACTGCGCAGCATGGGCCTGCAGGTCCCGACCAGACGGAAAATAAGGGCCCTACAGGCCCTGTGTCGTTTCAGCCTAAAAGCCTGAAAACGAGGGCCATTTTCAGGCCCTCATGAAGTCGACCTGCCCTGAAACTCAGGCACCAGACCAGAGTTTCGCCCAGTTTCAAGACAACCTTTGTTTGAACTTCAACGCCAGGGTCTGGCACGTTTCGGCATTGGCAAAAGCAGCCTCCCAGACGGGCCAGCACTATATAGAACTGGCCTGCTCTGCAGGCTTCAGGGAGTTCATGGGGACTTCCAAGGTAGCTCATAGGGACTTCCCAGGCAGTTCACGGGCACTTCATGTGCAGGAGGCAGGAGGCAGTCTTCAGGCTTCAGCAGCAGCACTTTGGAGGAGAGCTGCAGTAGTAGTAGCAGCGTTAGGAGTAGCCTTCAGTGCTGGGTGGTATTAGGAGCTAGAGTAGCATTGGAGAGAGAGAGAGAGGGTTGGCGGAGGCCAGGGAGACTTATCTATGGCGCCATAGCTCCAGCTTCGTCTTCGATGTACCTGCAACAAGGCGCCACCTTCACAGTACTGGACTGAGAGAGAGAGAGAGTTCTTCTTCTTCCTCTTCCAAGTCTACCATCTCTCCCTCACCCTCTCGCTACCTGACTTCTCAGTATCTGCGGACTACGAGAGAGAGAGAGAGAGAGAGAGAGAGAGAGATTGGTAACTTTGGGACTTGACGACATTTGGATTCAGACTTTGGACGAGGGATTATTTGGGGCCTATATCGAAGACTTGGTGTTGACGACATTCCCATCTTCCCCCTCTTCTTCGTCTGACCCCCTTCCTCTTCATCTGTGTATGGTCTGGACCTGGCGCCTTCTTCCTGTGTGTAGCGCCAGGCCCTTCACACCTTGCGATGATGATGATGTATGTTTGGTCTGCAATGTGACATTGATTGGTCTGATCATTGGTATATTAGCCTTCCGCTGCGCTATCCTGTACTATGTGAGAGAGGTCGGTTCGTGTTCTGGTCTGCACCTTTACGGGATGCGACACAGGTGCTGTCCTTCAATGGATGATCAGAACTCTGCCGCACAGGGTTTCTGAACCTGCGACCGGCGGATTGGATGACACTGAGTATGTGCCTGCTTGGGTCTTGTGAATGGCCATTCTCAATGGCAGCAGCACCTAACCCCTTGTTTGAAGAAAGGAACCTTGGCCCGGCAGTCTGTAGATTGTCCAGTTTGCCCGGAAACAAGCTCTGGCGCTCAACTTGTGGCATTGATGTTATGGAATAGTTTTTGGTTTTTGTGAGAAGATTGCTTAAGGGGAGCTTGGCTTCAACTACCCACTGTTCGTGTTTCCACTTGTCTGAGGTGTTAAATGGCTTGTGTATACGACAACCTCCTACCTTGACAACAAGAATTTAAGTTATCGCTACCATTCTCTGTCTTTTCTATGACATGGCGTTTTGGTGTGGTTTATGGTGGGCAAAGGGCTGCTGTATGAGCTGAACACGGTGCATTATGGGAAGAACAAAGAAGTTCATGAACCACTTCGTGAGGTGATTCAGGTATGCTGTGGACATCGCTCCCTTTAACCATGGCCCAAACTGAAGGAGAGAGCTGGAAATAGGATCATCAGTGCGATATGAAGTTGAGAAGAACAGTAAGAACAAAAGCCAAAAGTAAGAAAAGAAAAGGAAAAATGCACAGAGAAAGCTGAGAAGAACAGTTTCAGTGTGCCTCGTGCTGTCTGCACCTACTCTTTGTATTATTCTTTTCATCTATGAAGCGTGGTCTTCTAGTTAGTAGATACAGTGCGCTTTAGTTATGTGACAATATATAGCAGTGTACATTGGATCTGTTACAAGGATGCTACTATTTGCTTAAGGCTTCTATTTGTTTTTCCCATACTTGGTGCGCACTGGTGTGGTGTGCAGTGTGGTGCGTGCATGGGTGATATGTGCGCACAGGTGCAGTGCACTGGCCTGCGCAGCAATAGGTCATTTTCATGTGTGAGAAGGGGGGAAAGAGTTTATCCGACGCGAAGAGCAGCATGCACCCTTGTCGTTAGCTGCATACAGTGGAGGGCAGTTTTTGACAGAAGTTTTAAGAGAAGCACACAAACTCATCGTGATTGTATCCCAAATTGTCAGCTGTATGCATTCCAGGACAGTTTTAAAGAACAGTTTCGGGCAGCAGCAGACAACCTCATCACGAATGCATCGAACTTAAATTTGCAAAGATCCGCCTCGAGGCGATCAAGATCCAATCGGATGAGCACACACAACCTAATTACAACTTGAAATGATATCACAGGTTCCTCAAGGTCGTGGCTATAGCCGCTGGCAACGACCAGGTAAGTTTCTCTCTCTCTCTCTCTCTCTCTCTCTCTCTCTCTCTCTCTCTCTCTCTCTCTCTCTCTCTCTCTCTGTGTGTTACATGCTGCGCCTCCACACGAGGGCCATTTTCCAGGCCCTGCGTCCTTCAGGCTAAAAGGCTGGATTTCAGGCCGAAAGCCTGAAATTTAGGGCCTACAGGCCCCGTGTCTGTTCAGCTCGTAGAGCTGGAAACAGGGGCCTACAGGCCCTGTGTCGTTTCACACTAAACACGGCATGAGCCTTTTTAGCCTGAAACTGAGGGCCATTTTCGGGCCCTCATCAGACCGACCTGCCCCGAAACTCAGGCACCAAACCAGAGTTTTAATAACAGGCAATTTTTGGCCTGTTCCCACGACAGCCTCAGTATAAGCTGCAGCGTCAGACCCTGGCCCAGTTCGGAATTGGCAAGAGCAACCTCCTGGACTGCCCGCCCTGCAACTGCAGGCAGTCGGAGGCAGCCAGGAGGCAGGCCGAGGTAGTACATAGGGACTTCCCATGCACTTCACGGGCAGGCAGGAGGCAGTTAGTAGTATTCAGGATTCGGCAGCAGCACTCTGGAGGAGTGCTGCAGTAGTAGTAGTAGCGTTAGCCTTAGTCTTCAGCGCTGGGCGCTTGCAGCGTTAGTAGTAGTCTTCAGTGCTGGGCGCCATAGCTAGAGTAGCACTAGAGAGAGAGAGATTGGGCATAGGCCAGGGATACTTACCTGCAGCGCCGTTGCTCCAGCTTCGTCTTCGAGGTACCTGCAGCACAGCGCCATCTTCACAGGTTAGTACCTGGTATACAAGAGAGAGAGAGAGAGAGAGAGAGAGAGAGAGAGAGAGAGAGAGAGAGAGAGAGAGAGAGAGTGCTTCTTCTTCCTCTTCTCAGTCCACCATCTTCTTCTCACCCTCTCGCTATCTGCCTTCACTGCATCAGCAGACTACGAGCGAG